TTGCTGTTGTTGTTGTTTTTGAGACAGGGTCTCACCATGTAGTTGAGACTGACCTAGAACTCATTATGTAGCCCAGGCTGGTCTCGAACTCACAGCGATCCTCCTGCCTCAGCCTCCCAAGGGCTGGGATTCCAAGAGTGTGCCACCATGCCCGGCCGAAAGTGTTTACTTCTGTTTGCAGGTCTATTGTAAAGGATAAATGGCCAGAGGGAGGGTACAGGGGCACAGAACTTCTTGCCCTCTCTGGGACCCCCTTTCATAGCAGCTTTGTGTGGAAGTTCTTAGAATCTCATTTGTCCACAGAGGGTTTTAATAGAATTCTCAGTCTAGTCTCTTTCCCTCTTATAGGTCGGGATTGGGGCTCAAAACTCCAACCCCACCAGCACAATCCGGTTTGTTTTTCCTGGTGGCCAGCTTATTCAGAGGTTGTCTAGGGGTCCCACCCTGAGTTACCTCCATAGCATAAAGTCAGGAAATTTCTAGGGATGGGAGTAAAGACCAAAGGTATTTTAGATTATGCCACCTTCCAAGATGAGATGTTAAAAATTATGGCCATGCGTCATTGCCTGGACTGTTCCTTGGCTGTGACACGGTATCATGCCCCAACTTCTCCGCAGTGTTGGGCTTTTCTGATCCTGATTTTCAGATGCTGTTCTACTGTCAGGATGAGGCAGTTATTGAGATTTTTGGGTGTTTTGGAACTTGGGACATTTGCACTAACACATTCGTGGTTTTGAAATGGAAGCTGATGAGAGCAGTTCGGAGGACTTTGTGCTTCTAAACACTGAGTTCACAAACAGGATATGGGTAGCTGCTGAAATAAGCCAGAAATAGCTTTCCTGGCTGGGTGAGGGAAGTGCATGCACAGTTTTTATGAGAAGAACCGAAGTCAAATAACTTCAGCCAGAGGGACTGGGAACCAGAATTTTAGCCAGGGCTTTTCCTAGATCCCTCCTCACCCCCGTTTTAAAAAATAAAATAAAGCAAAGTAAAGAAAAACAAAATATTCTTTCCCTGGGGCTGGGATGTAGTGTCAGGACCCTGGGAAATGGTTTTGCTTTTCTATCAGTGAAAGTTCTGTTATTCTGTTACCTGGACCTGTAGAGAGACAGGCAGGGTGTGACAACTGAGTCTTCACCAAAATGTATCTTCTTCATGCCTCACCAAACAGCAGTGTCCCACTTGGTGATTCCCTCTACCCTCCCCTCTAAAGAAAAAAAATCCAAGTAATTAAAAAAACCTAAAATGTAGAGCTTATTAAAGAAAACAAGAAAAGTATATCCAAAGAAGAGGAAAAATTCTTTATAGTTATACTGAAACCATCACTAATATTTAGGTGTCAGTATTGTGAGAAATGGTTTCCTTTTTTTTGAAAGTTGTGGAAAATATTTTTATTTTTTTTTTAGGTTTCCATTTGTTATCACATAACATTGTTTTATTATTTGTGTTAGCTTGCTGTTGTTTGTGTTAGATAAATGTTGTAAAGGAAGAAAGATTTATCCTGGCTTATGGCTTCAGAGATTTTAGTCCATGGTTGTGGCTCTATTGCTCTGGATCTGTGGCGGCACAGGACATCATGGAGGAAGTATTTGTGGGGGAGGAGGCCTGGTGACCTCATGGTACCTGGAAGCAAAAGGAGACAGGAAGGGGCGTGGCCTCAAAATCTCTTTCAGGGCCACGCCCCCAATGACCCAACTTCCTTTCCCTAGGCGCTGTCTCTTAAAGGTTCCACAGCTCCCAATAGCACCATAGGCAAGTGAGCCTGGATCTTTGGGGGACATTTAAGATCAAACCATAGAAGGGCACAGAGTGATCTCAGCGCCCTGGGAAGCCAAGGCAGCGAGGCAGGTCGAATGCAAGTTTTAACCTAGCCTGGGCAACTTAGGCACTTAGTGAGACCCTATCTCAAAATGAAAGCAAAAAACAAAATACACAAACAAACAAACAAACAAAGATCTGGGAATGTAGCTCAGTGCAGAGATCCTGGGTTCGATCCCTAGGACTATAAAAGAAAAAAAAAAATCAAACCGTAACCCTGTTGATGCATGATTGTCTTACACGTCCCAGAAGTAGTATGGTGTAGTGGTCTAAAGTAGAGTTCTGATCCAAAGGGCCTGGGTTCAGATCAGTCTGCCACTTGTGGGCAGCTCTCTGACTTTGAGGAAGTCCCTAAGTGGAGAGGCTGCTAATTAAATGCTTATAGGTGAGACCTAATAAGGTTTATTATCATAAACACAGCTATAGAGTAGAAACTTCTATAAAATACAGACAATCTTAGGAAATCAAAGCACCCATTATTCTAAATCCAGAGAACCACTTACCCAGTGTTAATATTTGGCTATTTTTTCCCCGGTACTGGGGATTGAACCCAGGGTCTTCCCACTGAGTTATATCCTCAGCCCTTTTATTTTTTATTTTGAGACAGTTGCTAAGTTGCTAAATTTTCCAGGCTGAGCTTGTACTTGTGATCTTCCTGCTTCAGCCTCCCAGAGTGCTGGGATTACAGGTGTGTGTCACTGTGCCTAGCTTCTTTTTTTTTTACACAGTGGATTTTTTCATACATAGTTGAAATAATACTGTGTAGTATAGTGTAATATATTGGGGATCCATTTTTATCCTGATCATAAACCTTTATAATCTTTGTAAACATAATTTTAAAGGAGTACATGAATTATCTTGTGACCTATGTTTTATTTAACTTTCTCCCAATCCTTTTTTTTTTTTGTACCGGGGATCAAACTCTGGACCTTGTGCTTGCAGGGCAGGCAGTGGAGCCATTGAGCTAGATCCCAGCCCTCTCCCAATACTTTGACATTCAGAACACCCTCTGCCTCCATACTAAATTGAAATAATCCTAGGTGAACCCCAGCTAAAGCCATCAGGGGCCGCAGCCTTCTCTGCAGGTGTCTCTCCTGTCCCCGGATGTAATCGGGACCCGTCCACGAACCTCGAGCAAAATGGTAACCATGTTATGAAAATGTGTGCGAGGAACGCTTCTCTGACCATTTCTCTTCTTTGGTATTGGAGATCCCTTCCTTAGACGAGAGTTTAGAAATGGAAAGGCAGGGTCAAGGAATGGTAAAGGTCGTTTTCTAGAAGGATCCAGGGAATTTATGTACTTCTTTACCTTTATCCGTGTATGTCTGTGCTACACAGTGATGACATCTGTCTTGGGGAATCGCCACACCTCCTTGTGGCATCACACTCGTGTTCACACGTGATTGTAGACTTGGAGCAGGGGTGCATGAGCCTGCCCCACTTCCGGTGGCTTCCCCCGTACCCCGTCTCCCAGATCTGAAACCCGGAGGCACCAACCTTCTGGAATAGAGTTAACCCTAATGAAAACCTGCACTGGTTGCCCCTTGCTCCCTGCCATGTCCCTCCTCCAGCGCTGCCCTTTCCCCCTCTGTCTTTCTCTGGGTCCCCTGCAGCTCCCCTCCATCTCTCTGTCAGGGGAGGTGACAGAATGACCCAGTTCTCCTTAACCCTGCCCTGGCACAGGGCACCTTGTTCCCCAGAGGGTGACTGTGTTTTAATGGCAGGGGTGAGAGCTCTGGTGACAGGTGGGACACTGTGGCCCCTGATAGGGCTGAGTCTGGGGCCTGCGCCCCTCTGACTTCCACAAGGCCACAGCATCCTTGAGCTCAGGCCAGGGCCGGGCTGGGAGAGGCCTCTGGTGCCTCCTTTCCTCACTGCCAAAGCTCTGACTGCTCAGATTGGGATGTGTTTTGCTAAAGGGAAAGTGCATCCCTCAGAGGAAGCATGGAGGAGAAGTTGTGTAGGAGAAGTGGACATGGGAAAGGACTGGTCAGCAGCATGTGCAGGCTTTCACACAGCACTTTCCATTTCTAGACTCTGGTCTAAGGGAAGAGCCTCTAATAGTGACCGAGAGAAACGGTCAGAGAACTGTTTCTCATACATGTTTTCATAAACCTACTTTATGATACCAGGCAGGGCTCCTTTTATGGCTTTTTCAAATCACTTGATTAAGGCCGCTGAAGATGTAGAGGGCCTTGGCTTGCAAGTCGGGAGCCAGTGCTGTGATAAACTGCAGATCCCACGCAGCCAGAGCTGACAGGAGGCCCTGATGACCGTGGGTGGAGCTCAGAGGGGCAGCAGGAGGCTTTCCCGCCTGACCTTTCCTCTGTCAGCATGGTCTCCGGTGCCGTGTATAGGTAGGGGTGTTACCTGTCTCATTTGTGGGCTTGTACATCTGTCTGGCTTTATATTTCCTTTTTGGTCCTGGGATTGAACACTGAGATACATTCCTCAGCCCCTTTTCAAATTTATTTTTGGTTTTACATCTTGAGACAGGGTGGTGCTAAGTTGCTGGTTGTGCTAGGCTGGACTCAAACTTATAACCCTCCTGGCTCAGCCTCCCACAGTGCTGGGATCGACAGGTGTGGGCCAGCAAACCCAGCTGGTCTGTTTGCTGTAAGAGACGGAAAAACCAAAGAAAGAGCTGAGGAGTGTGCCTGAGCTCCCGAGGGACCCCCAGGCGTGCCAGACGTGCTCCAGACGTTACCGGGGTGGAGAGAAGCCATGGGGAGGACCTTAAGGGCAGGGGCTGCCTTGAGCCAACACAGCTCTAGATGCCTGCCAGCAGCAGGGGGAGATGGGAGGGCAAGTCCATGGCCAGCTCTCTGGAGGCCTCCGGAGCCCAGTCCGAGGGCAGGCCGGCCCTGCAAGGTGGAGCTGGCCAGATCCCAGCCTTCCCATCCTCTGGCTCCACAGTGTCCTTTACAGGCACTCAGAGTCTTGTCTCTTCCCTTCCAGCCTGGTCCAACCTGATGATGGCTCCTGTGGCCGCGGTGGTGTGCAGCCCTCATGCCCGGCTCTTTGCCAGCCTCCTCCGGCTGGGCCTGCAGCACCCTGGCCCTCTCCAGCTGCACACAGGAGCCAGCTGTGCGGCCAAGAGCCACTATGAGGTGCTGGTGCTGGGCGGGGGCAGCGGCGGGACCACCATGGCTGCACGCATGAAGAGGAAAGTGGGTGCAGAGAATGTGGCTGTCGTGGAGCCCAGTGAGGTGAGTGGCCCCCTTGCAGGTGGTCTGAGGGCTGGATCAGGCGACTTCCCTCAGATGCATGCACCGGTCTCCCGGGACTTCTCCCGGTATCAGGGGTGGCTGTCCTGGGGACTGGACGCACTGTGTCTGTCCTATCCCTTGAGGAAAAATAGGGCAGGTGTCTCCCAAAGAGGCTGTCAGTGGCTCAGCACTTTCCCTGCAGTTTTGTGATTGCGGGAGCTGATGTTTACAGCTGAGCCATAAAAATAAAAAATAAAAAAAATAAACACAAAAAAGCCCGAGCTTGTACCTCTGTTCTTCCTGTTCAAGTTCAACTGGGAGCCAACTGGAGACCTTTGTTCTGCTCCCCGCTGACCATGTCCACCGTGGGCAGCAGGGAGACTGCAGACCTGTGGCTTGGGCTGTCCTGGCGCTTTGGTAACGTGGAGGCCTTGGAAGCTGTCAGAACACTTTCCCCCGATCCAGAACTTCCACGACTGACTTAGGCCAAGAGTGGACGGGCGAAAGCAAGAGAACTCCAGAGAGTAGTGACAAAGTAGAGGAAGTTTGCGCGTGTATTGCACTGGGAGGGGCTGCCACTTACAGGCTGCGGGTTCGGAGCCCCTGAGGAAGGAGCAGAGGGGCTTCACGGGAAGTGTGGGAAGACCTCCTGGGTGTGGGGTCAGGGTGGTTGAAGTTCGTAGAGTTTCAAGGCCCCCGGAAGTAGCTGTAAACTTTCCAGACTTCCACATACGTCTGGGTGACCACAGTTCCCATTCTGGGCTTAAGTTTTCTTTGTATCTAAGCACATAAATATTTCCATAGCGTGTGCACACATGTACATATCTGATGTATTGCATATTAAACACCAAGCCAGCTTTTAGCAATAAATAATAGGGCGGTCATTAAGGATAAGTTTATGCCTTTAAAAGGTGATCTTGGAAGAATTCTTGGGTGGGCAGTTGTCCTTCAGAGTTTAACATAATAAGCGACACCAAAAGGAGGTCACTAACCTGGAGGCTTCGTGAGATGCTCTGAGGGTCCAGAGGGAGTCTAGTTCAGGCGCTTCTCCGAGGGACCCTGTGGGCCAGGCTCACCTGAATCATCTCCAAATACCTCGTTCCACAGAGACATTTCTACCAGCCCATCTGGACCCTGGTCGGTGCTGGGGCCAAGCAGTTGTCCTCATCTGGTCGCCCCACAGCCAGCGTGATTCCCTCTGGGGTGGAATGGGTCAAAGCTCGTGTAGTGGAGCTGAACCCGGACAAGAACTGTGTCTACACCGACGTCGGCAAGCAGGTACCATCTTGGGCCTTTGGAGTTGGAAAAAAAACTTATTTCTGTATTTTGGATTTTTTTGACACAGAGTCTTGCTGTGTAGCTCAGGCTGGCCTTGCACTCACGGCAATCCTCCTGCCTCAGCCTCTTGAATTATAGATATTGGCCACCACGCCTGGCTGGACGTTTTTGTTCATTGGAGGGCTCTTACTAGTTAATGCAGGTTGGATGGCTTCCTGCTGAAAGAGTAGCATACGTGCACGTGTGTGCAGACCGCTGCAGGAGACTGCAGAGCGTGTGGTCATGGGGAGGAGATGGGAAGATGCTGAATTAATGAGCAACTAAGACAAGTCCTGGTTGCCTATCCAGAGGAGGGGTGCGCCATTCTGATTTCGGTAGCACCTTGTATCTGGTCGCTTCCTGAACAGTGCTGTTGCCGGTGCAGGAACGGCAGGCTGCTTGTCTTTTGAGGCAGTGAACTTTCCTCCCTGCCACCTGGCCTCCCCAGGAAAGGGGCGCTGGGAGACAGCCGTGGCAGCCCCACTAGGGGGCACTCTGCGGCGCTGCAGGGGTAGCTGGGGACCAAGCTGGCGCCAACCCAGGAGTCAGGCTTTCCACCACGGTGGGGTCCTGTCTTTGGCTGAGGGGCCGAGACAGTGGGAGGGACTAGGCTTGGTACCCACCTTCCTGTCCTGGTCCCGTTCCCCACTGCAGCCCAGAGGGATGGTGGCTCCGTCCCCCTCTCCCACCCCCTCAGGCTGGGTGCAGTCAGAGCTGGCCAGGGAGGGCAGCCCCGGTGGGCAGGGTCACCTGACACCCTCAGGCTTGCCTAGTCAGGTGACCCGGAGCAGAGGCACAGAAGGGCCCAGCACTGGCTGACAGCTACCACCTTGCTGATTCGTAGGAGGCCAGGCTAGTTCCCAGCTCTGGGTCCTTCCCACACCTCTGCTGTCAGGCCAGGCTCCCCACCTGGAAGAGGGCGTGACTGTGTATTATGGCAAGGAGCAACAAATACACATGTATGGGGATATATGTACACGTGTATTTTATTTTAATTTTTGGTACTGGGGATTGAACTTGAGGCAGGCGGTGGTGGCACCACAGAGCTAAATCCCCAGCCCTTATTTGTTTGGTTTTTTGAGACAGGGTCTTGCTATGTAGTCCAGGCTGGCCTTGAACACGCTATGTAGCTCAGGCTGGTCTGGATCTCATAGCAGTCCTCCTGCCTCAGCCTCCTGAGCGCTGGGATTACAGGTGTGTACCATCATGCAAAGCGTATATTTTTACTTTAATTGAAAAAAACCTTAAATATTTTTACGTTGCTTTTCCTCTCTTGATGTTTCAGAACTTCCTTATTTTTGTCAGGGGCTCCAGGAGAGCCGGTTGATTACACAGGATTGTTCTCCTTTCAAAAGGCTGAGCTTGGTGGCTGTTTATTGTACCAGTCAGGGATTCACGGGGCAGGGTGGGGTGGGGCCCTTGGCTCAGCAGGGTCAGCTGTCCCCAAACTCCTTCTAGGGGCAGGAATGTCTTGGAGCCCTTTGTGGCAGTGTCCTGCTTGTCTTAGGGTCATAAGTCAGTCAGTCTCTCTCTCTCTCTCTCTCTCTCTCTCTCTGTCTCCCCTGTGTACTGGAGATTGAAACCAGGGCCTTCCCTCTGAGCTACATCTCCAGCCCTTTTAAAAATTTTGAAACAAATAAAAAAATTTGAAACAGGGTCTCGCCAGGTTGCTGAAGTTGCCCCTACTGGCCTCACCCTTGTGATCCTCCTGCCTCAGCCTCTGGGAGTGTGCACCACCACACCCAGCAGCTCGCCTCACTACTTGAGAGTGAGTGGGGAGCACCCAGCCTTCTCTCTGCGGGTCCCCTTGTTACCGTGGAAGCTCAGACACCAGAAAAGCCGTAGGGTCTTGGGACTTCCTCTCAGGGTTTCATTAAGCGAAAGTATTTTCTAGAGATATCAAAACCCGGCACAGAGCCTCTCGTAGGTGATATCTTCTTGTCGATTTTAGTGCATCCTCCCAACCTGTCTGGGTTTAAGGATTTATAATTCTTTCACCCAAATGAACATGCTTTCCTAGCCGTTACCCACGGATGGCTTCCTTGGAGTTCAGGGTTGCAGTTCTGTGATGTGTCCCGAGAGAGCTTTTTTAAAACATAGTGTAAGTTAATCAACATTCTTTAGCAAATATTATCCAACTTCTTAGTTTACACTTTCTTGTCTGGTTCACCAGCTGAAAGACTGAGTCCAGGTCACTGCAGAAATCTTGAGTCAGTGTACCACCAGGGGGCGCCTGCGACAGAGCTGAGAATGTCAAGGCGCCAGCTCCCTGTGAAGCTGGCAGCCTGCCCACTGTGAGAAACTGTGTCTCTGCAAGGAATGAAATCATCTGTCTGTTATCCATCTGTCCGTCCGTCCGTCCGTCCATCTGTCCGTCCATCCCATAAGCCCTATTTTCTGCGACTGTGCTAGAGACTAGGAATATAGGGGAGAATGACGCCTGTGTAACACGACCAGGGCCACAAAGCATCATGTGCTCGCGCTAGGAGGGCTCTAGGAGGGGGTCCACGTGGGAACGAGAGGCCAGATGAAAGCCCTGGCACCCTGGAGCCGAGTCTCCCTGCTCTCCAGCCGCCTGCTCCAGACAGAGCCACGCACTCTCGGATCTCGGAGCCGCTGTCCTTCGCAGGGACTTGCTCAGCCTGCTGGCTCTGCTTATCCAGTCAGGGCTGGATCCTGGCAATCTTGTCTTACTGCGGTCCTTAGGGATGCTTTGTGCTTTTCATCCTTCTTACATACACCTTCTCTGTTTGCCCCGATCCTGACCCCACATTTCCTTCATCGTATTCATGGGTACTCTCGTCCTCACCACGAATAATCACAACGCCCATGTCTGACGGGGGGCCTTTTCCTGCTTATTAAATGAGAGCGAGTGCATTTTGTTATCACCTCCTTTTCAAGGACTCTTTCCCAGTCCACTGACAGGTCAGATTCGCACGTTACTCCTAGATGTCAAAAATGTCGATTGTCTTTTAACGTCATTACCCCCACCTCTGAGTGTGAAAAAGTTTTAACAGAAGCAAGGCGCAAAGCATTATTCCCTCTGTTTTTCTCCACAGAGTAAACCGTAGGCACCCAGGGGCCAGGCAGGTCACAGCGTTTGTGAGGCAGCGAGGGGAGGTTGCAGAGAAGGGGTACGGGAGGTCGCTCCCCAGAGCGTGGACTCTGCTCCCCTCTTCCCCCAGACGGACAAATGCAAACCCAGCACAGGCCTTGCACACCCGGGCAGAGTCAGTCCTTGCTGCTTTTTGAGACTGGGTCTAAAACATCTATTTTTTTGTGTGTATTACAGATCTCCTACAAATACCTTATCATTGCTCTCGGAATCCAGCTGGACTATGAGAAGGTACTGTTTTACATTGTTCCTGTGTTAAATTGGCCAATTTATGCCAAGATCAAACCCTGTATTTGGTTGCTTTATATTCATTTTGACAGGAAAGAGGCCCTGACAAAAAATCTTCTCCCACTTTTATTTCTCAGTGGTCCTTTTATCCTGTAAAAGTCTTCTCTAAGATTCCGTCAGTGATAATATGTTTCAGCTTTAAGCTTTGATCGGAGTTCATTATATGTCTGCTCTGGTAATAATTTACACGCAGTAGATGCTGTTTCCACAATTATAAAAAAACCTGACTTTGTATGCAGGACTGAGTTGTCTGTATTAAAGATTCAGTTTTCCTTTGCTGGCAAGACTTAGGTTTTTTTTGTTTTGTTTTGTTTTTTTGAGACAAGGTCTACTATGTTGTTTGGGCTGGCCTTGAGTTTATTATGTAGTCCAGGCTGGCCTCAAACTTGTGGCTGTCCTCCTGCCTCAGTCTCCCAAGAACTGGGGTTACAGGTGTGCGCCATCATACCTGGCGTAGAGTGAGTTCTTATGAGACTCTAAGGGGGGAACCTAGCAGTCGGTTATCAGACCCTGGAAGGACTTCTGGGTTTTGTGTCGTGGAGGCTGGAGTTCAGTATGGAGTGACTGCAGCAGTATAAATGCTACTCTGCAAGTTCCTTAAATCTCTTTTTGGTGAATCAGATGCTAACTGATGGTTGTGAGATTAAAGTTTATTTTCCAAAACACGGTGGAGTAAATCAATAATTGCTATGATTGCTAGGGCTTGTTGGGGACAGCGGGTAAAGAGTGGTAGCACATACAGCTTGGTGCTAACTGAGTCACAGGCTGCAGGACTGGATTCCCGGCAAGGGACTCCCCGGAAGGCTCTTTGTGTTTCTGACTTGTGACTTATCCAGTGAGGGCGGTGGAGATGTGTTGTGTGAAGGTACAGAGGAGCACAAGTCAGTGTGCCCGAGTCACATGGAAGGTGACTTCTGGGCCTGCCCAGGATGGGGCCTGATGAGCTGTGTTCCTAGCCAGTTCCCAGGAACTGCTCTTTGAGAACCACTGGCTTAGGAATATTAGGTAATTTATTCAGGATCACAAAACTATTAAGTGGAAAAGCCAGGACTCAAACCAGGTCTGTAGGATTCTAAAGCCCACACTCTTAATGACCTGACTGTAATGCCTTTTCTTAGAATTTGATTGGTACAGCCCAACTAAGGGTCATGCAAGTTTGTTATATTGATGATATAAATGAATAGCCCTTGGTCCTGCCTATCTTCCTGTTTAATTACTTTCCTGTCTAAGGGACAAGATACCAATACCCACAATTTAAAGGAGGAGAGGATCATTTTGGCTCCTGGTTTCGGAGAGTTCAGTCCATAGTTAGCTGGCTCCAAGGCAGAATGGTGTGGCAGAAAGACTTGAAGGAGGAAAGCTACTCAGTCTGTGGCAGCCAGGAAGCAGAGAGAACAGGGAGGAGCTGGGGACAAGAACACATCCTTCCAGGTCACACCCTGGTGACCACCTCCAGCTAGGCCCTCTGTTCTAACAGCGCATTCAGCTGTCAATTAATCCAGTTAATGAGCACAGCATCCCATGACCCAGTCACCTTCCAAAACCTCACCTCTGAACATGGGAGACTTTTGGGGACATTTTAGATGTAAGCCATACACCTTTGCCCTGTAAGGCAACTGGTTCTCTTAAAAGGAGGCATGGTGGCACCTTGCCCTCATTCCAAATGTGGGATGGGGAGGGAGGTGGAGGGTTCCATGGGTTGGGCCCATTCTATTGTCTGAGTGGAGACTTCTGGTGCCAGAGTTTGGTCTGGGAGCCTTTGTCCCCTGTGTGTTCTGTGTTTGTGCCCTCGGTGGGGGGGGGGTCACAATAGTACTGGAATGCTTGAAAGGCTGTAGAGAAATGGCTAAGGACCAGGACCCTAAAGGCATGTGCACTTTGGTTTAAAACAGATTTTCTTTGTGCTTGGTTGCAGATTAAGGGCCTGCCTGAGGGTTTTGCTCATCCCAAAATAGGGTCCAATTATTCAGTGAAGACGGTGGAGAAGACGTGGAAGGCTCTGCAGGACTTCAGAGAGGGCAATGCCATCTTCACCTTCCCAAACACGCCTGTGAAGTGTGCCGGGGCCCCACAGAAGATCATGTACTTAGCGGAAGCCTATTTCCGGAAGGTCAGTTTCCTCTTCCGGCGGAGGAGCTGGGCAAGCGGCATGAACAAGGCCCTTGCAGGGAGTTTGTCCTTATCCCTATCGGAGGACCTTTTTTATTTCTGAATTTTTATTGCACATGTATACAGTTAATATAAGTTGAGGTTTATAAAATAGAAAAAAGGAAGATGCAGCTCATAATCCAGTTGCTTTAATAATGCTGCTATCACGAATGTGACATGTCCTTCCAGATTTTTTTCTATGGACTTAAAAAAATATGGTTATAGGGCCTGGGATTTAGCTCAGTGGAATTATGCCTGCCTCGCAAGCACAATGTCCTGAGTTCAATCTCCAGTACCACACAAAAAAAAAAAAGTTATAAGCATAGCGCACATACTAATTTAGACGTATTGCATATGATCAGTAGTCTTTGTAACATACTTTTAAACATATGTCTAAAGTCCCCTGGGGAAATAACGATTGTTTTTATTTTATTTTTGTTCTTCAGGCAATGTCTTAATATGTAGTTCAGGTTGGCCTCAGACACATGGTAATCCTCTTGCCTCAGCCTCCCCAGTGCTGGGATTACAGATTTGTGCCACCGTTCCTATGGAGAGATTGTTTAAATACTTCCACATTTCTAGTTAGAGGATTGCCAATTGATAATTTTTATACACTAGCCTCAGCTGTTTCCAGTCAAGCTCAAGATTATGAATATTTTCTGGTTCTTGAAATACAGTCTTGTAAATATAATAGGCAAAACACCCTCTTTTAAAAAAGGCAAAAAACCAGCTGGACATGCTGGTATATCTTGCAATCGTAACACTCAAGAGGCTGAGGCAGGAAGAGTGCTGTGAGCTTGAGGCCAGCCTGGGCTGCATAGTGAGGCTTTGTCTCAATAAAACAAAACAAATCAAGGCAAAAAGGTTTAAATGGAACTGTAAACTTCTGTGGAAACAGAGTTTTGGGGAGGATCATGTTAGACCAGGTGTCTGCAGCCGAAGTTTACCTGGGGCGAGGTGGGGAGAGAGGGTGTCTTGCCCTCCCTACCCTTGTCTGGAGGTAGCATTTGGTTCACGAGCTGTGGTTTGACCAGAGACGTGGCAGGGACCCCGGTGCTGGGCAAGGCTTCCCCCGGCTCTGTAACCTGCAGTAACCCTGAGAAAGTTCATTCTGGGTCGTGGCTGGCCTTCTGTGGTCCTTACCCCTGGCTTCTTGGCATGGTGAGATGTGGGTAAGCAGGTCCTGAAAGGAGCGTGAGGAAGGGGCCGCTGGAGAAGTTCCTCTTGCACATCTCCTCTCTCCCAAGTCCTGGATGGCCCGAGAGGGAAGTTCTCTCCCAGCGGCCCGAAGATCTTAGCATGTGGGGGAAACTTGGGGACAATCAAAGGGTCAGGGACTTTGTTTTGTCTGCTGCCATTCCCTTAGTACCTGGCCAAGTCCAGGACTGCCGTAGACATTTATTAAGTGGACGAGTACAGGGGTGCATGAATAATTGATGTGGTTCTTTCTCTTTCCTGGACTTGGCCTTCACTTCCGGCCTTAGGAGGGCAGCGCCCCCCCCCCTCCACTTCACTTCACGTCATGGGTACAGAGTAAGAAGGGGGCATTGGATTCATGCACACATCACCCCTCCAGGGTCCATGATAGTGGGACGCTCTCTTCTGTGGGTTTTAATTCTCGTCTGGGTTAAAAAGGAAATTAAAAAAAAAGAAAAAGAAAAAGAAGAAAGAGAAGGCAGAGTAATGTTCTGGACTTGGTTGTCCTCTTCTTTTCCCAGACTGGAAAGCGACCCGGGGCCAACATCATCTTCAACACCTCTCTCGGAGCGATCTTTGGGGTTAAGAAGTACGCGGATGCCCTGCAGGAGATCATCCGGGAGCGGGACCTCACTGTGAACTACAGGCGGAACCTCGTCGAGGTCCGAGCCGACAGACAAGAAGCCGTCTTTGAGGACCTGGACAAGCCCGGGGAGACCCAGGTGTTTCCCGTGAGTGGGGCCGCACCGTCTGCCGGGCTGGGCTGTGGGCGCCAGTGACAGCGTGGCCGTGAGCTGGGCAGGGCTGCTCAGGGTGGGCACCTGAGGGCAGGGGCAGGGTGAGAAGGCCGAGACGATGAGCTGCATCCGGGCAGGAGTGGATCTGCAGGGGCACCGTGCTGGTCCGGTGGCTGCGGCTCCTTTCCTGGCGTCGAGGCCCTTGAAGCGGCCACGAATATTTCACAGCTTCAGTTATGGCCTGGGCTCCTCGGGCGCAGGCCCTGGTGACTGTCTCAGAGGGTGGGGTGGGGGAAACAGCCGCGACCAGAGCCAGAAGCAGCACCGAGACCAAGGCGTTCAGGGGACCAGGGTGTCCCTTTCCACATCTCTCACGCGTGCGTGGAAGTCGGTGCTTAACGTCCTCAGGAAGGACCCAGCAGGGCTCCCGCTCTGGGAGAGCTCTGGCCTTTGTAGCTGGATTGGTCTTTGTGGGTCTCAGGCTTTTTCTTCTGTGAGGCAGCAACCACGCTTGTGTAGAGGCATCTGCAGGATTAAGAACAAGGTGAGGGGCCGGGGATTTAGCTCAGCAGTTCGGTGGCCTGCCTGGCAAGCGCAAGGACCTGAGTTCACTCCCCGGTACCAAAAAAAAAAAAAAAAAAAAAAAAAAAAAAAAAAAAAAAAAAAAAAAAAAAAAAAAAAAAAAAAAAAAAAAAAAAAAAAGAACAAGGTGAAAAGATATCTGGAGAAGATTCTATGTACAGCCTTCACATGGTCAGATTTACTGGAAGGTTCCATTAAAAAGGATTCTGAAGGGAACCAAAGGTTCGACTTCTCAATATCAAAACTTCAAAATTTAGGCTTTTTTTTAAGCTTAAGTTCATTTTGAAATATGTTGCCCACATCTTTCCTTTTGTAAATGGAGCATAATGAATATTATTTAAACCTCCAACTTAGAGTTGCAAAAGTAGAGCACAAAGAAAATTACTGGTAGACTTTACCTAAATTCACCTTTAGATTTTTACGTCGTTTGTTTTGGCTTCCTCGTTTGATCTCTGTACTCTCTCTCCTATTATTCTCCCCAAAGATAAATCACATATATCAAACATTATATCCCTTTAGCCCTAAAACTTTAGTGTGAGTTTCCTAAGATACGGATGTTTTCTTACATAAGCACAGTACTTATCAACTTAGTACATTTGGGACAGATTCAATATTCTGATCTATTTGTATCCAGTGTTGTTGACGGACCCACTCGTATTTATACTTTTCTCTCCCTGGTACGGACCCTAGTCAAGAATTGTGTTTAATTGCGATGCCCCTTTGGCCTCTGTTAGTTTGGGACATTTCCACAGCCTTCCCTTGGCTTCTGTGACGCTGATATTTTGGAGCTATACAACCCTTCTCCCACCACTTGGAAAAAGTAGACCCTTCCTTATTTTCAGCCCATCCATGTCTTGCTGTGATGAGTTTCAGGCTGTGCTTTCTAGAGCAGGCCAAGAAGTGAATAATGTTGCATAGTACTGCATGCATAACGTGGGTCCTTGTAGGGAATCACTTTTGCGAGCACATTAGAGTTGACTTTATTGATGATGTTTATTTTGATCACAAGTGAAGATACGGTCCTGTTCTTCTGCTGAATAATTACCATTCTTCTTCTCCCATGCTAATAAGCAAGTCTGTGGGGAGATACTTTGGGACCGTGTGAGCAACCTGCTCATTAAATCTCCACCTGGAGTTAGCATTCGTTGGTGACATTTGTCTACTCAGACTTTTACCATGGCGCTTGCAGAATGCCAGTTTTCTCACTCCAGAATTCCATGCACATTTACCAGTAGGCTCCTGGCATTCTGTCAGGAGAGCCCTTCCTTTTCTCCTAATGAATCCCTGGTAGGAACTCAGGCATTTCAGTACCCCCAGTCGTTTATCATTCATCAATGCCCTTAATTATTTTGGTGCTGACGTTGTCCCGGGTTTGGTCAGCGGCAGCACCTTCCAGCTGGCTCCTGTGTCCCTGTGACTTGTGGCCGCTGTACTCTCCGACGTTTCCTTACTTTCTGCTGTCATGGGATGTACCCAGCTCATCTAGTTCTGCCTGCCCCGACTCAGGATTGTCATTTAAAAATTTTACCAGTACATATTTGCAGTACATAATCGTATTGATCGTGGGGAATTGGTCCATGTGTGTAACACATCTTCATTCTTTTTATGTCCCTTTCCCTATCCCTCGCTCCATCTCTTGATCCCTTTCCTGTTTGCAGAAGAACTGACTCCCTGTTTCCTATTATCTGCATTTAATTTTGCTCTTTAATTGATCAATTAGTTATGTGGTACTGGGGATCAAACTCAGGACCTTGTGCTTGTGAAGCAGGTGGTGGCACCATTGAGCTAAATGCCTGGTCCTCTTTAATTTATTTATACACTGAGTTCCTCATATAAAAGAAACCATGCACTATGTAAACTTACGTGTCTCATTTACTTCACTGTGCTCAAAATGCAATCATTTTCCTACAAATGAGTCAAATTTTTCTTTCTTTATGATGGGGTAGTACTTTATTGTATGTAATTACTTGATTTTCTTTATCCATTCATCTGTTGAGGGATGTAGGCTGTTTCTAAAATTTAGCTATTATGAAGTGTGATGTTACAAGCATAGTTATGCATGTATCTGTAATGTGATGTCTTTCATTCTTTCAGGAAGATACCTAGAAAGGGAATACCTGGGCCAAATGCAATTTGTTTTAGTTTTTTAAGGAATCACTGTACTGATTTCCGTACTGGCTGTACAAGTTTACTTTTCCATCAACAATATAGAAGAGTTCCTTTTTCCTGTGGCCTCACTAGCTTTATTATTATTTGATTTCTTGATGATGGCCATTCTTTCTGGAGTAAGATGAAATCTCAGTGTTGTTTTAAATTGCAGTTCTCTAATGGCCAGCTAATGAACATTTTCTCATATATTTATTGGCCATTTGTACTTCTTCTGTGAAGTCTGTGCATTTCACTGGCTACTTTTTGATTGGATCTTTTGTCTTTTGAGTTCTTCATGTATTCTAGGTGTTAGCCTTCTCTCCAGGATGTAGCTGGCAAAATATTTTTCCATTCTCTAGGCTGTCTTTCACTCTGTTGTTTGTTTCCTTTGGTGTGTAGAAAATTTTAATTTGATAGTCCAATTTCTTCATTCTTGATGTTATTTCTTTTTTTTTTTCCTTTGGTACTGGGGATCGAACTCACATCCTTGCGCTTGCAAGGCAGGCAGTGGAACCACTGAGCTAAATCCCCGGCCCTTGATGTAATTTTTTATTTATTCAATTTTTGTGGTACCGGAGATCGAACTTGAGTCCTTGCACTTGCAAGGCAGGTGCGGTGGAACCACTGAACTAAATCCCCGGCCCTTTGATGTTATTTCTTAGGCAACTGGGGAGGATTATCATTTTGAGCAGCTGTCGTATGGGTATGCTCACAGGACCTGCTGGGTCATTTACGGGTACTTACGATTTTATAAAAATATTTCTGCTTCTTGGTCTTTATGGGCATCATTTTTGTAGCATTCTAGTTTTCCTGGCTGTCACAGAGCTGTAACTTTGGAAGGTCCTTCCGCATTCAGCTCTTTTGAATTGTTGTTTCTCATTTTTATTGGCTGGGAAACAAGAGAGGCAGACTTCCTCAATTTTATGTAACGCACAAGAGAGCAGGCTGTGAGTGAAGGAGTTTTATGAGCAAAGTGCATTGGCTTGAGTGAGGGAGCTTGACTTTGTTCTTCGGCCTTTTGTCTTGGTTCTCACTTGTCCTTGGGGGAGTTGAAGTTCAGGAAGGGCCTTTGCCCCATGAGTGGCCATTGTTCTGCTACAGAGTTTGTAAAGAATGGATATATTTGTGTTCCCTTTGAATGAGAGAATTTCAGGTCAGATGTCTTTTCAACTGCACTCTTAGAAGTGGACTTGTGGAAAATCCACTAAGGGTTTCCCAGCGGTGGCTTTCAAGGCCGGCGGCACTGGAGTGATCCCGGGAATCTTTAGGCAGTGACGGGTGCTTGATCTGGTATGGCTGAGGACTCAGAAATTCTCCTGATGTTCTAATGATCAACCAGGATTGAGAACTACCGTACACAGAGTTCCAAGTACCCCACAGCTAATTATCTTGGATCCTTTGTACAGAACTCGGGAAGTGGATCTGATTTCCTACAGTTTTAAAAAATTTTAAACCTGTGCTCTGTCACGGAGCCCGAGAACTAGGGGGGCTTTGGAGGTTTTCTAGTCTGACGTGTTTCTTTGTGGATAAGCAAATGGAGGATATGGCATGTGACCATGGTGAAGGAACCAGTTCCTTCAAGCCAGAGGGTCTGAGAACGTGGGCCAGGGAACCCATGTGTCCAAGTCACTAGCAGGTTTTGTAAAAGCATAGATTTCTGTGCTTTCCCCAGAAGATCCTGGGCCTAAGCAATCGCATTCCCGCAAGTCTACCAAATCCTGTTCATAAACATATATACAGCTAATTTATGTTAATGAATACCAACTGAACTATCATGTAATGTTTGTGGGAATAAATAATGCATAAAGAGCAAGCTGTAACTAAGTGATAATGTTAATTTTTAATAAATCCATAAAGTAGGCTCTATTATTATTATTATTACTATTAATTATTATTTTGGTGTGTGTAAGCTGTCAGTATAAGGAAAAACTCCATGCCTTTATTATGATTTTTTTTTTTAGTTTTTTTGAGACAGGGTCTCACTATATAGTTGAGACTGACCTGGAACTCACAATGATTCTCCTGCCTCAGCCTCCCGAGTGCTGGGATTACAGGCATGTGCCACCATGCCTGGCTGCCTTTATTCTGATTATGTGAAAAATTTTCTTCCATGAAAGGTATATGGGATTTGTGTGTACTTGTGAAATTCAAGCACACTGATTCCATCAGACAGGGGCAGTTGTAGGAAGGCCTAGACCACAGTTCAAAACATCGGTTATAGTTGGCCACAGGAATGCAGACAGACATAGCTTCCTAACCTGTGGATGGTGATGTTGGCCATTTCTTCTGGTATCCTGCAGGCATGAATTTAGCCTCCAAGTTTATTAATAATCTGGCTCCAAAGAGTTACCCAAGATTATTTTGGAGTGGAGCAGCAAGCATTAGCAACCCTCTTTCCTTAAGATTAACTAAGCCTTGGGGAAAAAATGAGAACCAAGACCTGTCATGTAAAGGTACAAGATGCCATTGATGAATGTTAACTGTACTGTATACCTAAAATGTACCAATAAACTTAATGAGAAAAAAACCAAACACCAATGAGCCACAAAAAGCAAAAACAAAAACAAAAACAAAACAAAACAAAAAACCCGAAGATTAACTAAGCTTGGGATTCTCTGAGAGTTGGAGTGAGTGCAGGTCAGCTTTGGATCACCGTGGCCATTGGTGATGATGTCACGGGCCTCCATGAGGAACCAGTGGACTTGTTAGCTTTACTGAAGTTGTGAGGTGGTTTTCATAAAAAATTCAATATAAAAGAACAGAGAGCACGAAAGAACACCACATAAACACACAAAAAAATTAATTGCGCCATCAGAAGTCTTCAGGTGGCTCTGTGCCCAGTTACCGAGGGGTTGATGTACTGCAGATGTTTTGGGAAGTGAAATTTATCCCTGCCCTTGGCCCCCGCTCAGTAACCCTAGTACTGAATCAGACTCCTCTCCTTCTCCAAAGTGCTAATTTTCTTTTTATCCCCCCCCTTTTTTTTTTGTCTTAACTTGGTGATTTAACACTTTTCTTGATGTGTTTTGAGAGTGAAGACACCTTTGGGAATAATACTCACTTAGCAGCGGCTACTGTGACCTTTACACATTTCCGCAGCCCTGAGCACCTCCTTCCAGGATAAAACCAGAACCTCAGCTATCCCAGGTTGACTCCCAAGGGTCAGGGAGAGAGAAAATGGAGGGTCGGTTATGCACGGATGGCACGATAGTCCGTGTAGCCAGAGCACAGGATGTGGGGGAGGATGGTTGGGTGAGCTTGCTGGGCTGTAGCATTGTTGAGAAGACGCAAGTTGGGTGCTCTCCTTTTCCACAGTATGAAATGCTGCATGTCACACCGCCCATGAGCTCTCCGGATGTCCTCAAGACAAGTCCCGTGGCTGATGCGGCTGGCTGGGTGGACGTGGATAAAGAAACTCTGCAACACAAGAAGTACCCCAATGTGTTTGGGATCGGGGACTGCACCAACCTCCCCACCTCCAAGACTGCGGCCGCAGTAGGTAGGAGAACTGGCTGTCTCCCCGCTCCTCAGCGGCTGTCTCTCCTGGCACCGTCATAACAAAACCAGAAGCTCGGCACAAGCAGAATTCCTTTAACAATGGAAGACACTTTTGGGGCCTGCACATGACCTTAACCTTGAGGCAGAGATAAGTTGTCAGGGAGCCTAGTGCTGTGTCGGGTGGAAAGTGTCTTTGGAGAGCTTTGCCCCAGAATGGTGTGATCTTCCCTGCCTTTTCCGGGTCAGAGGGGTTGTTGGGAGCAAGAGACAAACACTCGAGAGAGGGAGTCGCTGTCCTAGCTCTCTGGGCTTCTCTTCTCATTCCACCCCGCTCACATCCCTGGAAGCCAAGCAGTTTGGCTTTTTCACTCTTGCCTGAAACCCCGTAAAGCCAGGGAAACATTTGTTTCCCAGCAAACGCATGCAACTCAATGAAAGCCTGCAGACCAGAAAATTGTCCTGTTAAGACAGAGACAGTGGAGCGTGCCCGATTGGTACACGATTAAGGCCTCAGCCTGGAAAACTAAATTCCTCGCCTCCATGTTCTGCACCAGCAGTGGCGGGAGAATCAGTCGCCCTTCCGGTTCTGTCCTCTGCCCACAGGAAGGAAACCCTGGCCTCCCGCCGATGGCTGTGGTACTGCTGTGTGTGAACCAGGCACCCAAGGGACCTCTTCTTACCATCGCAGTTTCAACAGGAAGGGAGATGTTCTAGGAAACACTCAGACTATGTCATTTTTAATGATAACTTCCACTTGGCTTTTGAATTTCAAAAATTTAAATCTATAAAAACATAAAAGAAAGTACAGTGAATTCTCACATACCTTTCAGGTATTATCCAGCTTTAATATTTTTGTGACATCATCTGCTGTATCATTCCATGGAGTTGAGGTAGTTCATGATATTTCACCTTAAATACTCTAGCCTGCATTTCCTAGGACAGTGCTGCTGAACCTGTGGCATGCATGTGATTTGTTTTTCTTTTAAGGCCAAAGGTTTTAATGTAGAGTTGTTTTGTGTAACCTAAAAACCTCAGTATTCAGGTTTACTTGCCGTGTTGGCGCTTTTCCATAAGTGGGTGTGGGATGCCGTTTGGGTGCCCGTCTCTAAAATATTTGCCATCACTGCCATAAGGGAAAGGACATTTTCCTCTATAAACAATATCATTATCGTGCCCGAGAAATTGAACACTGTAAAATAGATTCTTCCGTAGACAGTCCTGTTTGGATTCCTCTAGTTTTCCTAAAAATGTCCTTGGTAGCTCGGTCCATCCTTTAAATCCACTAGCGGGTCAGCAGCCACACCTTGCATCAGCAGTCCTGTCTCTTTAATCTTCTTTAATCTAGGACGAGTCTTTTACGAGGTTGGTGTCTTGTAGAACATCGGGCGACTGCCCACTGCCTGGTTGTTTTCTCACGGTGCGGTCCAGGCTGAGCACGGCAAGAATCGCAGTCCACGGGGCTCCCGCTGGCACGGCAGGAGCTCCTCTTGCCTTTGATGAAGTCACTTCATCACTGGGTCAGGCAGTGTCCACTTTTCTTCCAATACAAAGCTACCTTTTCTCTGTGATTTATAGGTAATCGGTGGGGCGATGCTTTGAATTTACTTCCACCAAGTGTAGACCAGAGAATTTATGTGGTGGCGAAACACCTGTGACGCGAGTCCAGGTTCCCTGACCTTCAGTCTACTCCAGTAGATACGCATTTCGGTGTTTCAGGTAGATAATGTTAGCTATGATTAAACAAAAAGCTATGTGAAAAGCCTTGCTCTCAATCCTGCCTCCATCCGCTCAGCTTTGGCTTTTCCCACAGCCCCACACAGTGCCCCATTTTTACGCCTCTGTTTTAGACCCCATGTTCATTACATGGCTCCCCCAGAACTTACTGTTCAAGTCCACTCTTGTTCACTTTGGGTCCTTTCAACCCGTTTTATCAAGAGCGACAGCTCTTCTTTGTCTTTTCAGACCCACAAATGTCCACCTACTCTTGTCCCAAATGAGCAAACAGTCGTAGTTCAGCCGTCCCCAAGGAGATCTGCGTTTCTCATTGGCTGCCCTCCTCTCTCTCAGAGTCGCTAGGCGATGCTGATACCTGGCCCACGCATCCCCTCCCTGTGACCTCCCTCCCAGCCTCCACCAGACCACTTTGCTATTGTGAGCCAAGTCCGGTCTCACTGGGTTTTCCTGAGGCTCCCGCCTCCCTCCCTGCTGCCTTCTGCCCCAGGCTTCTCCTTGAATTACTGCAGTGCAGCCAAGATCAGGATGTGGCATTTAACAGAAGTTAATGAAGGCTTTGACATAATGAAGGAGATTCTTGCAGAACAGGAAACTATAATTCATGTTTGCCCGAACACATGCACAGCTGCGGCCTGGCTGTGTAGTGCGACACCCCAGTCCCGGGCTGGGCTGACCTCCTCGCTCTGGTCCTTCCTGGGGAGCTCCCGTGCCCTGCTCCTGCCCTTCTCCATCGGCCTAGACACCCTGCAGCAGGGGCCTCCTCAGGTCATCTCAGTACAGCTTCCAGCCTCTCCATGGCCTCAAAGATGAACACAATTTTCCAAAATGGAAGCAGGATTTTGGAAGACGTTGCTTTGCCCACAATGGAGACAGCTATTTAGTAATTTTAACCAGAGTTCTGTACTCCTCATTTTTTTTTGAATCTCCTCCCTCATTCTAGAAAACAAACAGAAAAACCAAAAACAACAACAACAACAAAAAAACGAAACAAAAACTTCCTTTTTGAACTGAGTGTCAGCAAACTACGGTTTGTGGCCCAAAAGTAGCCCATGACCTGTTTTTGTACAGTTGATTAAGAACAGTTTCTAAGGTGAGGATTTATGAATTTGATAACAGGGACACTTAACTCTTTTGCTCAATCTAAAAATATTCCATTCTACTAATGAGAATCAGTAGATCTATATTACAAAAATATTATATTTTGAATTTTTATCCATAAGACTTTATTTTGGTATTGGCGATCGAACTTGGGACCTTGTGCTTGCGAGGCAGGTGGCGGAACCAGTGAGCTAAATCCCTGGCCTCCTATCTATAAGACTTTTGTCGAATATTTTTTTCTTATAATATCTCTGTTTTTTGCCTTTTTGCCCACAAGACCTAAAATTTTTCTTTATAGAAAGTCTTCTGACCTCCGATTTAGAAGATTACACTTTAATGAGCACTTTACAATATAAAAGTAACTCATCTTTCCTCAAAAGTAAACCCAGTATTCTGTCTTTAGAGACAAGATCACTCGATACTTTTAAAGACTAGTCTTCATTATTCAAATTTGAGCACAGATTGGGATCACATGATGTTAAGGAATCACTAATGTTTTTAGGTGTGAAAATGCTGTTGTACTCATGATAAAAATCCCCCACCTGTCAGAGACATACACATATATTTGTGGGTGGGTCAGTATGAGGTCAGCTCTGAAAATCTCCAGAAAATAAAGTGGCATGTGTGATGCGATAGATGAAAACAGCTAGGTAGTTTGAACATTTTCATAGTAAAAAAGAGAGCCTCTCCACCTCTTCCATTGGGAAAAAAATTTGTGTGCACATAGAGTGATCAGCGGAGTTAGATGCGTGTAGATACCTGTGTACATCTATCTAGTCCAGCCTCCGCCAAGGCAAGCCTCGTGAAGAGGAAAACCCAGTATTCTGTCTTACTGCATACACTTGGGGCACCAATCAAGGCTGTGTATCCACAGGGACCTGGGGGTGTTGTGGATGGCCAGGGGATGCTGTGTACGTGGACCAGGTTGACAGCATCCAGGAGGAGGTGGGTAGGGCCATCCGCATGGTGCTTCGGTTCCAACCTGCAGAGAGGCCTGCGTGGGCCCTTGGTAAATGGAAGGACCCCCTGGTAGTCAGAACTTCACGAAATACGAGGTCGTGTTCTACTCACAGTCTAGAGAGAAGGGTAATGGAGTCTTCCTAACACACACACACCACATGCACATACAAATTAGAGTCATTTGCAGATTAGTTTTCATGGAAAAACTCAATGATTGTATTTTTTCTGACTTTTCCATTTCTCTTATAGCTGCCCAGTCAGGAATACTTGATAGGACAATTTCTCTGATTATGAAGAATCAAACACCAGTAAGGAAGGTTCGTATGCCTTGGAGAAGCATTGTTTCAGTGATCACTTGTGTGGAGCTGGTGGTTTCCCACGGTTTGGCCCCTTTCTTAATTAGTTGTCCAATCTGGGCCCTTCAGTTTTTGCCTTTGGTACTATTGTGTGTTACATCATTTACATTTGTTCCCCAAATTAGGATGCATATATGAAAAGTTGCACCCACCCAGAGCACATAATAAATCCTAAAGTTTCTCTGTAATCGCATAAAAAAGCTACTTTCCAGCTCAGTCTCACGTGCAATTTTAGTATGACGGCTACACGTCGTGTCCGCTGGTGACCAGCTACAACCGTGTGATTCTGGCGGAGTTTGACTACACAGCTCAGCCGCTGGAAACCTTCCCCTTCGACCAGAGCAAAGAGCGGCTCACGATGTACCTCATGAAAGCTGACATGATGCCTTTCCTCTATTGGAACTTCATGCTCAGGTGTGTCACGGGTCCTGGTGTGGGGGCACACCTGACAGTGTGTCACCTCGCCTTCCAGCTTCTTCCCAGAGCAGGACTTGCTGATGGCACCCGCCCTGCTGTGCCGTTTCTCATGATAGTGATGGCGGTCCTTTTGGGGTTCCAGTACCTCCGCCACGCTGGGAAGAACCTGGAGGAAGTGGGTGGTAGCTGCTCCCCTCCCACTGCGGGCACATCCTACATGCCTCATGATTGGCAGTCTTCTGCTTTCTGTGCTTTGGCCCTCTCTTGCTGCTGGATAAGTACTACTAAGAAATCATTTTCACACGTCAAGTTCTTTCTCATCTGCTACTCTACTTTTTACAGAATATTATGCTTGGGGAAAAAAAAAAAAGTGATTAGGAGGAGAGACTTTGGAGTCCTGTGTTTGAATCATGCTTTGGCTGTGTACTGGCTTCTGTGCTAAGACAGTTGCTTCAGCTCTCTGTGTTGACGTTTCTTATTTGCAAAACAAAAGTAACATTGCCTGCCTCATAAAAGGGGGATCAGTGAAATAACTCAGAGAGAGGTTAAAGGAGACATTCAATAAATAAGAGTAATAAAAACTAAGGGCCGGGGATTTAGCTCAGCGGTTCGGTGGCCTGCCTTGCAAGCGCAAGGACCCGAGTTCAATCCCGGTACCAAAAAAAAAAACAAAAACAAAAACAAAAGCAAAAACTGACTCCTTCTCCTTCTTTGTTCTAAAAATCGATGATCTCTTTTGACTTTTCCAAACTCATGGTCTCAGCTGAGAATGACTCTGCCCCCAAGGGACATTGGCAGTCTCTGGAGACGTCTGTGGTCGTCGCGGAGAGATGGACGCTGCTGGTAGCTAGTGATCAGAGTCCAGGGACACTGCCGGAATCCTGCAGTGCACAGGATGGGCCCCATAACGAAGAACGGCCTGTTCTGAAACGTCAGTAGGGCCAAGGCTGAGAAACCTGGCCTGTGTTTAGTCCTTGAGTAAGTGAAAGCAGAGGAGAGGGCAGTTTGCTGTAGAAGGAGCATCACGCAGATTTGCTGAGTGACTCAGCACTTCCGGCCCACACAGGAAGCCAGCGTCAGGCTAGGGCTCCATGCCAGGTGTCTTCTGCTCGCCATGGCTCTGTCTTCCTACTTGACAGATCTTACTTTGTGAATGGCTAAGTGCTTGGAGCATCCTGGCTTCCCTTCCAGGCACTGCTGGCTGAGGTCACCCCATTTCTTTTGACCCGTGTAACTGTTCTGTGTTATTTCTCACAGGGGATACTGGGGAGGACCAGCCTTTTTACGGAAGTTGTTTCATCTGGGTATGAGTTAAGGGTGGTTCCATCCTGCTCTTTTGGATGACTTCTGAGTCCAAATTGCAGTTCCTGAATCAACCAAGAGCGGCGCGAAGGACTCTCCTAGCCCTGTGAAGACTTTCTTGCTGGATAATGGCGACTTTTTTGGGGTCTCTCTGAACAGCCATCGTGTGGGCTGATGAAGGAGCTTGATTCTTCGGAAATATTCAAGTGATAGACTTCTATTTTCTAAATAAAAGTTTGTCATTTCTGTGAGGAAATTGCCTCTTGACTGGTAGGAATGACAAGTTGTCACAGCACTGGTGTTGGTGGGATAGCTTTCTAGTTTTCTGCCGTGAGTGGTCAGCTGGTATAACTGTCTAGAGCCTACCTGGAGTCGCAGGAAAGTGACTGCAGGGACACATTGCTCCAAGCAGTGGGTGGCAGCCTTGAATATCAAGCTACTTAGAAGGTTTGCTGTGGTGCCCAGCATGGTGGGCAGGGAGTCCCTTCCTGCCCTTCCTGTTCCTCCATCCTGTTAGTCTCAAGACTGTGCTTTCCCTGCTGTTGACCAACACTATGGGCCACTTGGTTCAAGGGATCCTGATTTGTATGGTAGGCATTTGCTCGATTCAGTCCCGCTTTTGGCCAGCAAAACTTTGAGAAGGTCTGTGCTGGAAATATTGCAGGAAATAATAGTCCCAGCTTCTGTGAAGTTTAGCAGTGGCTTCACAATAATTTGCTCCCATCCAGTTGCTTATAGAAGTTTGGTTAGTCTGTAAATTTCATATTTATAAATGCTTTGGAGCAGAAAGACAGAGCAGTCTATACAATGCCTCAGATTTTTAAAAATAATATTTTAGAGCTCAAACTCTTTTATATGTTTATATGATTTCCAAGTGTCTCTAGTTTTTGGGAGTTCCGATGGCTTTCAAAACTGATCCGATGGGGCCAGGGATTTAGCTCAGTGGAGCCACTGCCTGCCTCACAAGTGTAAGTTCCCGAGTTTGATCCCCAGTACCAAACAAACAAACAAACTGATCAGGCATTCATCTATTCATCCAACAGATTTTTACTGAGCAGATTTTTACTGCCAAGTACTATTCTTGGCCCAGGGGATGCATGATGACCCAGACAGATAAGGGACCCATCCATATTTCTGTGGCTCCTGTGTTAGCTTTCTACTCTTCTTTTCCTGGGATGCTAGGGAGCTTGCTGAGTGTGGCTGCGCCTTGATTTCGGGAGTGGACTTTCTTCAGTGGAATACTCAGTGGGACAGAGTAGGGTGGATGGTGGTTTCTGGAGGGACCACACCTGGTTTCCCTGTGACACTCAGTCAGCACCTGCTGCTCCAATGTAACCATCGACAGCACCCACATTCATGCTCCAAAACGTTTCTGTGTGGGTGCCAGCATGACCATTGCAGTGGCCACAGTCCCCACCCGTGTCCAGAATGGGAGAGCAGTGCTACAGGTGGTACGGGGCTTGCTGCCACTGTTGCTTCCTTCATGTGCTTGGGCAACAATCAGGGCTGGAATTCTGTTGCCCTGTTCTTGGAGTCCGGGCGAAGAAGCCCAATAACTGTGAATTTCCTGCCTGAGTCTGCCTCCTGATGGGCAGCCTGCTCTTGCAGGATAGTGAGTTCAGGGCAGCCACAGGCTGTTTATCCAGGATGTTTGTCCAGGATGTTTATTCTGCTCTGCAGGACCCAAAAAGCCTCAGGAGTAGCCCAGCCAGGTTCCTGTCCTTGGATATGGATGGAAGTGCTGGCCAGGCTGGCTTCTGGATTTCCAGAGAACGGGGCTGTGATTCCTGAGACCAAATGAGGCTCTAAGTGGAGTTCAAAATCCTGTTTTGAGTTAACCCAAGCCTCTGGGTCTGTTTATGATAATGCACTCTGTATAAAACCTTCAATCTCCAGGCAGTCCCTTCCGAGATCACTTCTGCTGGGCAAAGTTCATTGCCAAGGCCGGTGGCAGCAGTGACCCCCAACTGGCCAGTGCCTTGGTCCTAAGCATTGTTCTCTCCTGTGAGCTTGGGAAGTTAAAAACCGTGCTGAATTCCAGAAAAGTTCAGCCTGTGAAACCTGTCACCTCATCCACAACCGCGGTGTTGGCTGACGTGGGGTGGGGGTGGGGGGCTGCCTTTCTAAGGAGGTCGCGAGAGGAGGTAGGACCAGGGCGGGGTGAGAGCGGGGGCTGCTCCATCAGCGGTGCCTGAGGCTGCGGGTTCTGCCCCGCGGAGGGGTCCGGTGGTGAGCAGTGCTCCTGGAAGCCGGGAGTGACACTGGGCTGAGCTCGTGGACGTGGGATGCGCCTTCAGTCCTTCACTCCTTGGCTCTGGAGCGCCCCTCTCAGTTCCTGCTTTGGAATCAGTCCTAGTGAGCTGTAGGTGCGGTAACATGGCACAGGCTGTGGTCGAGGGACCCCGGGGTGGAGAGCAGGAAGCCGGGGAAACAGTCTGAGATGCAGCGGAACTTTCTATGGCGTTAACGTCTGAAATCTTTTCTCCTGTCCAACTTGTGCAGCAAATTTAATGAAAAGAGATAAAAGGAATAAAAACGACTCCCAAATCTACTTCCCAGAAATAACTAATAACATGTTGCTGTCTCTTTCAATCTAATATTATTACATATGAAGTTTCTTCATATTACATGTGAAGATCGCATTGAAAGGACTGTTTTGTGGCCTGGGTTTTATACTAGTTGCACCAGGGGCCAGGGGTCAGTTGTAGCGAGGAGGTGACCTGTGGCATTCACTTAAGGAGCGAGCGACACACACAGGCGGGCCCGGAACTGTGGGTGGATGAGCCCAGCAGCTGCCTGTCACGTGCCGAGAAAGTGATCAGTGCCGGCTCACACTGCGTTCCTGTGGGAGCTGAAGGGGTCAGGGTTCTCTTACTGCCACTGCCCCTGGCTGTGCTCAGCTCAGCAGAGGTTCACGGTGAAAAGATCGCCAGTGGCACAATCAGTGGGTGAGGGCAAGTGTCTGAGCACAGATCTGGGTCCAGCCTTTCTGGGTTTGAATCTCAGATCTGCCTTTGGCTGACTGTAAAACCTGGAGGAGGTCATTTAAACTCAGTGGGCCCCTGTTTTCTTATTTATAATTTGGAATTATCATAACGCCCATCTTACTGAAGATTAAATACGTCAGACTGGGTGTGGTGGTGCACACGCTTGTGATTCCCAGCACTCGGGAGGCTGAGGCAGGAGGATTGCCATGAGTTTGAGGCCAGCCTGGGCTACACAGCGGGACCCTGTCTCAAAAATAAAAAACAAACAAAAAAGTAAAAAACTTCATATATATGAAATGTAATGAAAATATACAGTGAAAAAAATTTTTTTTGGTTTTTTTTGAGACAGGAGTCTCACTGTGTAGTTGAGTGTGACCTGGAACTCACTATGTAGCCCAGGCTGGTCTCAAACTCATAGCAATCCTCCTGCCTCAGCCTTCTAAGTGCTGAGATTACAGATGTGCACCACCACACCCAGTGTACAGCGAATGTTTAAATTAAAAAATTACTACAGTAAAATACACATCACCATGAATGCCCCTCGAAATGCTCCCTTCCTTTGAGCGTACCTTACCCATGGAACTCACTATGTAGCCCAGGCTGGTCTCAAACTCATAGCAATCCTCCTGCCTCAGCCTTCTAAGTGCTGAGATTACAGATGTGCACCACCACACCCAGTGTACAGCGAATGTTTAAATTAAAAAATTACTACAGTAAAATACACATCACCATGAATGCCCCTCGAAATGCTCCCTTCCTTTGAGCGTACCTTACCCATCATTCTTGTTACTTCCCGAAGCAGCTCTGGAAGTCCTCTTTCGTGAGTGCTTGATGAGGTGTGATGAAAAACGTGGTGAGTGCTGCTGCGAGTGCCGTAGGGTGGAGGAAGGCAGGCTTGTGCAAACCTGGCAGCACGTCCTCATCCTGTAAGAAACGCGAAGGACTTGCCAAACACCAGGGACTGGGCTAGGTATTTTTTTTTTCTCAGTCCTGGGGATGGAACTCAGGACCTTGTGCTTGTGAGGCAGGCACGGTGCCACTGAGCCATGTCCCCAGCTCCTAGGTATACTATTATAAGTTGCTTCGAGTGGATAAATTGGCTGGCTGCTCCTTGTGACCTGTGCTGAGCTACCCCTTAGCAGAGGGTGGGCTCCTTTCCTGAGGACACTGGGGCAGCTGGTCTGAACCACGGTGCACAGACTCCTGCTAGACCAGCTTATCGAGACCCTTTGTGTGCAGTCTCTGTCGGGCTCCAGTCAGGCTCCCTCTCTAGCGTATGTAACTATGTTCCATGGAGATCTGCTGTCAGATACCCTACTGGGTTTTGAGGGTCAGTGAGCAGAACAATTCCTTATTAATTGTTCCCACAAACATTTCACTTCCTGGGCATTCAGTGTATGTAAAGCCCCGGGGATTCATAGCTGAAAGCCCTTGCCCTGAGTTCCTGATTATTTATGTGTCTACCAGGCAAGCTACCAAGTGGGTGTCTCATTCCTGTGTTCTCACAATAGCCCAAATACACCACTGACAGATACCAGACATTCAGGGAAAATACACAGGAGAAAATGCCTTCGAGCTGAAATCATGAGGACACACTTCATTGCGGGAGACAGAAACATCACCCAAATAGGCTTGGGGTGGGAGGGGAAGACTTCAGGCGTGGCTGGATCTAGAAGTCAAAAATAAGCGTCAAGGTGCTCTCGCTTCATCACTCAATTCTTTTTCCTTTTAAGCCATTCTTCTACTATAGATAGGGACTAAGCGGGCCACCCCAGAGGTGAAAGACAACTTTACTTCCTCAGGGCTCACAGGCCAACTCCCCAGGAGGATTACCACTGCCACCTGATACACACGCGTGCTTCTTCTATCTGAACGAGTGCTGGGGTTTGTCTTCTTATATTTAGTGCTGTATTAGCAGGACCTAGAACAGGACGTACGGCACACAGTAGGTACTCAATAAATATCTGACCAAGAACCGAACTCATCAGCTCAAGTTTGGTCGCTACCCACTCCCTATCTAGGAATGGGACCTACGAGTGAAAGAGAGATTGGTAGAAAAACAATCTGGGCAGCCATGCGCTGCTGTTGACTCTGGTCCCGACCCAGGAGCCTTGTGCTCAGCCAGGTGGAGCGGAGGAAAGTTCCCAGGCACAGGACAGGATGTGCAATGGGTCAGGGTGAGGGAATGTGGTGGCTGTGTGTAATGCAGTGTAGACAGGATGCTGGATGT